AAATGTGGTGTTCACAAAATTCTGACATTTTCCTTATGATTTCAGAGCATGTGGAGGAAACAGATAAGCTGTGGACTGATGATAGATGAAATTTCAGAAGAGCAAACACACTTTTCTCAGGAGGAAATTCTTGTATCTCGGCCTTTGCCAATGTATCTCCATGTACACAAATCACTCCTGAGTATCCTGTATAATAAGGCTTACTTTAATTAGGCACTAAACAAGTCAAGGCAATGTCACAGAGTGGAAAGGGCCTTGTCCTCAAAATTCATTTGCCGTTGTGCCATGAATAAATGCTGTCTTGGAAAGGTCTCTCCATGTGCAGGGCCTGCTCTTCCTCAAGGGGCAGAAGGGGGGTCACTGCTGGTCAGGGGATGCTCATAACGGAGCTCTGACGAATGGGATCGTCTCTGCTGGGGCCCTGGGAGCGGGGCTCAGGAAATTCCCCTGAAAGGCAGTTTACCTTCACTACAACGGTAAAGGAGTTCTTGAATTCCACTCTATCTGTGACCTCATTAAATGAATGTGAAGAAATATATGTTTAAAAAAGCAGATGTGGTAAGGCTACCTTGTGCCTTCATGGGCCATATTATACACACTGCAAGTACGGGTGGGGCACATGAATCACTCACATGCACGCACACACACTACACAGATACACATAACTACACACATGATCTCTCTCCCTCTCTCACACACACACTCACGCCCTTTCCCTATCTCTCACACACTTTTTTCTGAACATTTGGAGATATCTTAACACACTGCGGACCAGTAGTTTTATTGCTAGCTTTACCCAGTGGCTAAGCTAAGTTTCTATTGAACGAGGACAAAAAACGTTTTACATAAATGTTAAAGGCACACTTTAAAATTAAATATCATTGCATTTTGAAGTTATTACATGTTCTTACAAGCTAATATCTTTTTAAAGTATGATATTTTGTACAACACTGTGTAATATGAAGCGAGAATTCTCGTGAACCGTCCGCAATGTTAAAGTTATTAAAAGGGGGTTGCAGATATCATGGTTACTCACACCTAAATCCTTTAACATTTATCTCCTAGGTGGGAACAAAACCAATTCTCCTACATAACCTGAGTGTAATTGTAACAAAAAGAAAGTTAATTGTTTCAATCATATCATAAAATATACAGTCCATATTCACATCTCCCCCAACTGTTCACAGTATGTTCTTTGTAGATCTTCATAAAACATAACTAAGATATAATATCACTTTTCCTTTATTATTCTAAAAATTATTTTTATGGCTGAAGCTATTTTTTCCATATTTTTGTCATTTCATAGTTATTTCCTGAACGTTATTTTAGAAAACTCTTTTAATAATTTTGAAACTTTGGCTTCTAAACTATAACTCTATTATTGAATAACCCATGATATAGTTTATTATTTTACATTTTATAAAACAAATTTTAATTAGAGGATTTTAGAAAGAAGAGCTTGCATGAAATATGACAAGAGCAATGGGAAACACTAAAGCTGTTAAAAGGTAATTGTGTCTGGTCCTCATGCACTGTTAACTAGGGAAACTGGTAGGAGATGTTCTCTCCTGTCTTTTATTCATTTCCTTCCCTCCTTGCCTTTTCTTCCTTAGTTCCTTGGCGCCCTTTTTCTTTCCTTCCTTCCTTCCTTCCTTCCTTCCTTCCTTCCTTCCTCCCTTCCTCCCTTCCTCCCTTCCTCCCTTCTTCCTTCCCTCCCTCCCCTAATTCCATCCTCCTTCCTTTTATATTTGCATGGTTCAAAAAGAATTTAAAAATGAATACAAACAATGAAAATCCCCCCTCAATCCTGCCTGTTTCTGTATAGTTACTATACATATAAACATTTCTATCAGCTTCTTGTCTATCCTAGAAATGTTATGCAAATACAGGCAAATATATGTGTGTTCATATTTCTGCTCCTCTTCTGCATCTTGCTTTTTTCTTTAACAAAATATCCTTGAAATCTTTCTACATCAGTTCACAGAGCGTGTCTTCATTTTTTACACATCTGCACGGTAAGTGGAGGCACTTTGATTTGAATGGCAGAAAGCATAACACAGATGTAAATCAGATTACTTATGTATTAATCTTTTATGGCACAGTGAGTATATCTTGGTTCTTTATGAATAATAATGACAATAGCTATAATTTAAGAAGCCTGCCACTAAGCACTCTGTTATGTGTCTTATTTCACGCCTTCCTCATCAACGCTCAGCAGCAGAAAACGTCCTCCTATTGTGCAGACGGGAAAACTGAGGCTCTGAGAGGCGGGCTGTGGAGCTTCTTTCTACTCTCAAGGCTGTGCTGCCAAGGGCTCCACTGTTCTCCTCACTGGCCTCACTGGGACCTGCACACCATGCTTTATAGCCCCCAAGCCACCTTCCCCTTCGTCATCCCACACAGCCCTGTCCCAGCTGAGCGCTGAGGCATGAAAAGACTAGAAACTTGTCTCTTCTTTCAATATGACAGGTTTCTTGGGTGCCGCCCCAACTTCCGAGCTATGACAAACCTGCTCTCTCTAGCTTTCTGATAGGCTCTGTGCACCTTCTGTCTCAGCTTAATCCTGACTACACAGCTCACAGACCAGGAGCAACATGCCAGCGGACGATGACTTTAGACTCTATTGTGCGAGCGCACAAGAAATAAGATTTGAAAAGAGAGTAAGAGTTACATTCTGTTTTCCAAAAATGGCTGTGGTTACTCAGGAACTGTTCATTTAGATGTTTACACTCTTGGGACCTTGTACAGAGGACCAGTCCCTGGCTGCTGGGACAATGGGGGCGTGGACGGGCTGCTGCAGAGGCCACAGGCCCACAGAGCTGAGATCTACCACCTGCCCTTACAGAGGTGGCTCTCCCTGAGCCAGGCAGTAATGGTGACTTGCACGTTTTCACTGTGCAGAGGATCACGTGAAGATTATACTTTGTTTCCAGAAGCGCTGTTATGACACATGAGCATTCCCATTTTGGAATGCTAATCTGTTTCTTTAGATCCATCCTTTTATTTCATCCATGGACTAATTTATGACATACAGCAAATAAATATTGATTATGCCTGAGGCCACACCCTAATCTTTAAAGAATGGAGAGAAAGTACTCAGAAATCAGAGCTATGGGAAAAACGAAAGTTATTAAAAGGTAATTGTGGGACCGTCAAGTTCCTGCCACACCTAGAGTCTGCCACCTCCAGGGCCTGCTTGGGGTGTTCAAGAGACACACTGTGGTCTGTGTGCACAGGCGCGGTCAGGAGTGCCAACAGGAGGAGATGAGTGCCGGCCGAGGCCTTAAGGCAGGCTCCTCAGACTTTTTAAACGGGGCCAGTTCACTGTCCCTCAGACCGCTGGAGGCCGGACTATAGTTCAAAAAACACTATGAACAAATTCCTATGCACACGGCACATATCTTATTTTGAAGTAAAAAAACAAAACAGGAACAAATACAATATTTGTATTTGCATGTGGCCCGCGGGCGGTAGCTTGAGGACACCTGCCTTAAGGTCTCTTCATTTCTCTCAACAACTTCAACTTGTCTGTCCACCTTGAAAACCAAATGTGATGCCTTAACTAGGAAGCCTATTCAAGGCCAAGATTATCCAGTATAAACATGAATTTTTCTTTGGAAATTAGCCTATTGTTTCGTTTTGCTATTTTAATTCATGGTGAGATTTGTATTTGAATGCTTGATATGAAACCATGTTGGTAACCATTTAAATGTGAAAATTTAACTCCATGCCAGAAACATCGATGCAACAAATCTGCATTTAGATACTGAATTTTTATAATATTCCATTACATTCTTTAACTTATTACTAAAAGTGAATGAGATTGTGGACAAAACAAGACAGCCTGTATATATGAAACATCTACAACTCAGAAACTTAACTAACGTTAAACTCAGGTATGAGTTTAACACCCAATGTGAACAGACTTTACTTTTTTAACTCCAGGGAAATGACAAACATAATGCCTTCTCCAAACTGAACCAATGAGTGCAGTGACTTTCTTCAGGGACAGTGACGGGGCAGAGACAGAACATGGTAAGAACGACTGTGACCTATCACACCGGTTCATACAGCTCCTAAAGACTGCAGTGCCCGCGAGGCTGCAGCACATGGAACACGACCCCGTATCTGGTTTCCATGTAGCAGCAAGTACTTCTATTATCAGACAGCAAATGGGTAGTCAGCAGACGCGTAAATGACTGCCGCACAATGAACCTTGAAAGATGCCAGAGCTTCTAAAGTCAGTGGCATGCACACGCTCAGAAGCCGAGACTTTGCAGAGGGGGAGTTTAGTCACATTACAATTGTGTTGACCTTTAGCCTCTGAGATTCCCTATAAGTATCCTGACTGGGCAGCAATCATTTTTTTAAAATATTGATTTTAGTGAGGAAGGAAGTGGGAGAGAGATAGAAACATCAATGATGAGAGAGAATCATGGATCTGCTGCCTCCTGTACTCCCCACACTGGGGATCAAGCCCGAAACCCGGGCATGTGCCCTGACAGGGAATCAAACCATGACCTCCTCATTCATAAGGGGACACTCAACCACTGGGCCATACCAGCTGGGAACAGCAGCAATCATTTGACATGAGCCAATATGCACTCCAAAACATAATTAGCAAACTCTGCTAAAATTACTAACTTTGCTAACCAGCTACTTTTGCATTGATTCCACACAAAACAGCCCCATGTGAGACCCAGTGTCATTTTCCCCACTGCAATCCCAAGGATCCTCACAGTGCTAGGGATGCACAGCTTTCCTGCTCCACGGAGCATCGGTGGCAGGAACAACATATGCATCATCTAATTTAACTGCAAATGGCTCTTTTTAGTGAGAATCATCTGTTTGGAGAAGATGCACAACAGAACTCTTAACTGCCTCCCAGAAGCCAGGAAGCACCAGGAAGCTGAGAAGAAAGGCCTGACTCAGAGCAGCGAGTGGGGAGGCCCAGGGAGAGGGCCCTTGCGCACAGTCCCCAGAGAGCTGGGGGCAGGTACCTGACTCCGATGCCTGGGGATGCTCTTTGACTCAGACTTGGCTGCCTCAGTGGGTCAGAGCTGGGAGTTCAGAGATGCCAAGGGATGTGATTTCACCAATCCTTCTTCCGGTTCATTTTCTAAGGGACAAAACAACATAATAAGTACCTGAGGGAGGTGAGACTGACCAGAACTTCCTCCTCTGTGCTATTATACTTACAATAAAGAGTTACATTTCAAGATAGTAACCACATTAAGAAATGTGTCAATGATTTCACTCAGAAATGCTGATGTGAAAGGCCATAATGGACAAGTAGACAATGCTTCTAAACATTTAGTTAATTTACTTTGAAATCCAAGATATTTAACAGTTTTAAATACATATCTAGGTTTGATGCTCAAACTAAGAGCACTTAATATTCAGATGGACTCATTACCAGCCAACTTTAAAGATTATTGCCTTCTTTAACACTTTGATGCAGTTAAGAAAAAATTTAATGCCCTAACCGGTTTGGCTCAGTGGACAGAGCATCGGCCTGCAGACTCAAGGGTCCCGGGTTCGATTCCGGTCAAGGGCATGTACCTTGGTTGCAGGCACATCCCCAGTGGGGAGTGTGCAGGAGGCAGCTGATCGATGTTTCTAACTCTCTATCCCTCTCCCTTCCTCTCTGTAAAAAATCAATAAAATATATTTTTTTTTAAAAAAAGAAAAAAATTTATGAGTGAGAAATATTTTAGGTGTGTCATTATTTCTTAGAAATAATGTTATTTCATTCATAACAGATTATAATCTGGAGATAAGAAGAGTGGCTCCAAATGCTAGCTCCATTTTATTTCAGTAGAACAATAACAAAAGACATTATCTTCATTAATGTAAATTAGAATTTATTTCTTGACTTTCTATCAAGGTTCTCTGCAATATTGTGTCAATGTTAGGAACTACTGACTGTTCTAATTGGAAAATAAAATATCTGGATTATTTCAAACTATACTGCCTTAGAGAGGATTTATTTATTTATTTATTTATTTATTTATTTATGTATTTATGTATGTATTTACAAAGGAAAGACAAACTGGGATATAAAAAGTGGAGCGAGGAGGTGCCTCAGTTGTTGAAGCTATTGTTTCTGGTGCAAACCTCCAAACTCAGAGATGCTCATTAAACTGAGTCTACGGCAATAACAGCCTAAGTGTTAATGGGCAGCAGTGAAGTGTGTCAGGCAAATGAAGGACCCTGAGGGCTCTCCATGCTGTTCCTGATCAGCTCCATGTCGCAGCGTTACCATAAATCCTCTAAAAGACACTGTCCCTCATTTCTTGCGTGGTAGCTCACCGTGAAGATAATACTCAGGGTGCTTAGCAAGGGAGATTTGAAATAAGATAACACACAATTTCCTATGAAATACACAGACTGCCTATAAAATGCAACCATAACAAATTTTATTAATTTTCCTAATAAGGATTTACCAAAACAAACACATACAGACCAGAATAATTCAGAAATATGCACATGAAGCTAGAAAGCTTTTAAAATTACCCTGAAAAAAAATCAAAGTTGAAAAATAGAATGAGAGTTAATATTTGTTTTGTGTCAAAGTCTAGAATCATTAATTATTTTGTAACATTTAAAAATACATTAAGTGATTGAGCAAAAAAGGCAAAAAAAAAAAGAGAAAGAACTCATGGACATGGACCACAGTGTGGTGACTGTGGGGGGAAAGGGAGTGGGTGGAGGTAGAAGAGGGTATAGGAGGGATAAATGGTGATGGAAAAAAATAAAGTATACAGATAAAAAAGAAATACCTCATTTAAAATTAAGTAGTATATTAACCCCTTGAGTGACGGGGAGCGCGATTGCGCTCCTCCTGTCTTTTGCCAAAAGTGCTGGGAGCGCTACTGCGCTCCTCCTGCAATGTCCAGTTCTAAGTCTGCTTTTATTAGTGATGATGATATTGCTAAATATGTCAATTCTTGCTGTGAAGATGACGATTTTGTGGAAGATATTGAATATGTAACTTCATTTACTTGCGATTCATACTTTTTTCCCTAAACTGCTGTATAATCAGCAAAAATGCCTTGGCAATTTTAGCATAGTTCCTAGGATATTGGTTGGCACTCAAAGGGTTAAAATAAATAAATAAATAAATATAAATATATATATAAATATACATATATATAGATATTAAACCTTTAATACAAATTGTGATTTGTAAACTTATTTACAACAAACACAGCCGTCTATACTTGAACACTTTTGAGGAGAACAGTGTGTTCTGTGGCCTTTTCCTGTCTACCAATACTCAAAACACACACATACATGCACACACGTCCATATGCATGCACACACATGCACACAAAATGTATGCACACAATGTCAGCAAGAAATTCTTCTCGACACTAGCTGTACTCCTCTTTATACTATAATTTGCAAATTTAATTTATGCATGACAAAGGCAAATGCCCCAAACCTTCTCCTATCAGACACTCACCCCACAAATGATCTAGGTTCAGAAGGGAGTTTGTATCCAGGACAAACAGCAACACCCCCCTATATCCTCAGCCTTGAGCTGTGCTCACTAGAGCTCAGAACTCAGAGCCCTGGTCCTTAAAGATAAAGGAGCCTGGGCCGCGCAGGAACTCCGAACCTGGACAGTAAGGCCATGAAGATGAGTGTGTGCTTGGGGGACATTTACTGCCACCCGCCTTTTGTTACTTTTAATTTCTGAAATCCATGCCTGCTCTCTCCACCAGATTCTACTAAGGCAGTTACATATAAAACAACATTATTGACTTTGAAAACATAATATAATGGTTTAAATATATGGACAGTTGTATTTATGCATTACTTCTAGATTAGCAAGACCCATCTCACCCAATATTGGTGTGAATATTTTCTGAGTCATTGAACCACTCTGAAGTTCAGGTTTCTCTCAAATAGTAATAGGGCTGGTTGAAAATGTAAAGTACTCCTTTCAGCTCCAAAATATCAAAACACCTACAGTCCTCTAAGCCTGTGATGGCGCCTGGTGTGACTTCTGGGCTGGGGAACCCGGTACAGGAAGTGTGCTCCTCTCCTCTGTGAACTGCTCAGATGAGCTCTCCATGACTGTCTAGACCAGGGGTCCTCAAACTATGGCCCGCGGGCCACATCCGGCCGCCGGGTGTTTTTGCCGCCGCTGCCTGTCCTGCTTAGCAGCCGATTCGTCCCGGGCCCGCAGTGCGCATGTGTGGGATGTCTGAGGGACAGTGAACTGGCCCCCTGTTTAAAAAGTTTGAGGACCTCTGGTCTAGACAGTGGGTCATAGGTACAGCTCTGAATGTCAGCTAAGTCGCAGGAGGAATTGTTCTACGCATTCCTGCTGCCCAGCAGTGCCTCTCAGGCACCCTGCTGACGACAGGAGCAGCGGAGCACTGGCCCCTCCCCTAGGCCCCAAAGCAGGAGGTGGCTCCCAGGGACTTTCCCAGCAGGTGTCAGCACACTGGGCTGTGGACATTCCTGTCCCTGCCATCTCTGTTTCCTGAGATTTCTTATTGTCAAAGAGACCTGATTACCTGAGATGTGCACAGGTGAAACATGCGTGTGGCTTCTTGGCATGCGGAGTCACTGCTGCAGGGTTATCCACCAGCCGAGACCTCTCCTGCCTTCCTTCTCCCTAGGAAGTTCTACACGAGGCCGGCAGAACAGGAGGGGCATGTTCGGACAGTGCCTCTTCCTCAGACTGACACACTGAACAGGAGGAGCCGGCACTCCTCGCCCGGCACCGTGAGGAGGCGGTCCTCAGGGAGCAGGCAGAGTGTCAGGTGAGCCCCCGGGACCCGCCACAGGCCCTGGCTGACTGTGCTCCCTGCTGCTGCAGTGGCCAAGGCGGGGATGCCCAGTGGGCAGAAGGGGGCGCAGCAGCAGCGGCGCCAGTGCAGTTCCGGCCGCTGGGCACTCTGCTGGGTTCCACCCTCCATACCTGTTGCCAGAATAGAGACCAGCGGCGGTTGAGAGAGCAGATGGTTTGTGCCCTCCCGCACGCAGCACGCTCTCGTCAGTCTCTCCTGCTTCAGTAGAGGGACTGTTTCCCTTTGTGCCAAATGAAATGGGCGTTAGTGAGCGCTCGTCCTGGCTTAGTCTTTGTTTTAGAATGTGTTCATGAGAGGATAACTCAGCTTCCAGCTGGTGATGACATTACAACATGTCCACTTTCAGACTTTCAGAGAAAAGAAAGATAATCATTTTCAGAAGACAGAGATAAGAATGAGGAAATATATAATCAAAGAAGTAAATGAATGAGGCTATCTTAATAGTAGAAAATCTGAAGAATGTATGTGGATTTTAATATCCCCTTATGTCATTTCTAAATACTCAGCACCTCTCCTCTCTGTGTTATGAATCTAATCCATCACACAAGTTTGCCCAACAACTGCCATTACTGAGCGCATTGGGATGTATTTTTGACAAGCAAGAAGGTTCAGCCTTTCCCACACATGGCCTTTCCAATCTCAGTATTTCCCATAGTGCCACCCAAACCTCTCAGCAAGGAACCCCTTGTTCCACATGTTAACTGACACCATAAAGGACAAGAGCAAGTGCCATGTGCAATCTGGAGCTTTTGTAGATAAAACGTCACGATCTATCCTCCAGCTGCCCTCTGATGACGACGGATTCCCAAGCTTAGACCTGGAGTCAAACCCACCATATCACTGGTTCTTGAAACCAGCACAGGAAGAGAAACCCAGGTCCCACTGCAGGCTTCCAGGGAGTGTGCCCAGGACTCGCGATGTGGAGGAAGGATGGGGGCTCCAGCCTGTCTGGCATGGTGACAGGTGGTGACAGCACTCTACACAGGCTGTGCGCAGGTGAAGGAACGACTTGTAAGGGAACTGCAGTGTGGACGACAATTTAAAATGTAACCCTAGCCTAACAGTTCCAGTTCCTGTATCTGCCAATTATGTTTTAGTCACATGTGTACACAGATGCATATATAAAACTGTTCAATGCAATACTGTGCATAATAAAAAATGAAACCATCCGTAGTGGATGGTAAGATTATCCTATCTAATAAAGAGGGAATATGCTAATTGACCCTCATGCTGTCGCAAAGATGGCGGCACCCACAGCCATTGAGGAGGGAATATGCTAATTGACTGCCCC